TCAAATAACAGTTAAAAACTACTGTTTGTCAGTTGATTCTTATATCTGAATATATTATTTCTTATTCTTATATCTTGATTTATCAACAAAAGTGGTCATTTCTTCAGAACCATCAGGTGGTTTCCAGCTTGCAGTGCATTACACATCACTGAGGAGAACGTTGATACTAAACTCATGACTATACCTAAAGCCAATAGCAACAAAAAAAAGTGAGAGCTGCAAAAGATTTTATTCACATTATATTAAATCCAATATTAATATGTGTTATTAGCATCATAAGTTAAACAGCTCACCATGAGAGACTCCGAGTAGCATCAGCAACAGTCCAATCACAACTTCCATGTCTCCTTCAGCCTCTGTTGACCCAGTCAGCAGCTTCCAGACAAACTCTCTACTTCATCCCAAAACAAAAACGCACATCTTACACTGAGCAGCCTGAAATATGTCCTGAAACGTGATCAGCCTCAGAGGAAAACGTGTGAAACCTTTGACCAAGCGGAGCAATGTTGTATTCATCTTTTTATAGGCAGAAAGGAGAAAAGGAAGTGATGTCAGTTTCACTTCCCTTCTAGACCAGACCAAGAGGGCGGTGTGATGGACTGAGTGGAAGAAGGGAAACATTCCTCCTTCATACTGAAAGAGGATTTGAGACTGACAGCTGACATTTATAAGATGTCCATGTTATTATACATATTAACAGAGGAATTAATTTAAAAAAACGTTTGACTTGTCGTCTCTCCATGTCATTTCTGTCTAAATAAGCGTATGATACATCATTTTTCTGATCTCCAAATAAACGAAAAGTTAGATTTAATCAGAATTCACACCCTGAGATGCTATCTCAACCTCTCAAACTGCCCCTAACAGCGAGGCATTTTAAGAGCATGTTGTGGTTATTCACCAGAATGTAGATTAAATTCTGGTTTTAGAGTGAAGAATTATTTGAAATTTCAATAAAATGTGTTTAAAATTGACATTTAAAATTTTGTGTGCCGGAATTAGCTCAAGGGCTGAGGGAAGTAACATAAAACTAGCAGAGGAATCCAATGTGTCAGTGTGGTTAGTTTTGAAATATTGCCAGAGGAGGAAGTGTGAAAGGCAACATCAAGTAGACCAATGGCCCAAATAACAAACCAACCCGAGTAGAAATAAAATGCAAAATACTACATAAACTATAGACCAAAAGTCTAAACCTAACTTCTTGACAACACAAGAAAAACAGGAGAAAGGGAATGTAACAAAAATGGCAGCTCTCCCCTACAGGGCTTCCTGGCAAAGAATTAAAGGTAGTTGAACAGCAAACCCTTTTTGGCCTTAACCATACATTACCAGACAATAGAGCTATGGACCAGGTCCTGACAGCTCACACTACACCCCACTCTGGGTGTACGCAGGCAGCAGGAGTCATCAACAGAGTTAGTAATGCAGCTCCTCAGCCTGTAACACCCCCAGCTGGGCTGTGATTGGCTGCAGGACCCTGGATATGAACATTTGATGTTATTTGAAGAAAAACTATGCATTTTCATGTAATTATTACTATGATCATTATAATAAATCCACACAGGTTTTACTTTTTCACATTACACTCAGACATTAGCAAATAAAAGTGAAACAAATATGCTCACTTACAAATAAACCTAAAGTCAGGATTCAAATTTATTTATATTTTAATATATTTGATCTGTAACGAACAAATTCAACAAAAGTTTTTCCGATTCTTATTCTGAAATATAACTAAATATTATTTCTAGAGCAGCAATAGTACACTTTACAACAGCGAAGTCACTAAACTCAGCAATTTAAATAATATTCCTGACATCAAACACACAGACAGTCAGTATCAGTCCTCTCGAGTTTGTAGCAAACTGAGATAAACAGTCAGACCAAATACAGAGAGCTTTACTTTTAGCTTGTTCCTAACAATTAAGACTATTACACTGAGGTTGTAACAACAAAGCAGGTGGAAATATCGCTTTTATACTTTTTCTATTTGATTTGTCGTCAACTGGAGTAAATTGCACCACTGCCTCTGTGTGTGTGTGTGTGCGTGTGTGTGTTAGTGTGTGTGTGTGCGAGACGTGTTAGTGTGTGTTTTCTTTTCTGTCGCTAGGACGCTGTGAATAACCACTGAGGCGCAGTGGCCATAACATGATGATTGTTATGAATAATGATGATCAGGGTTTGGTGGTGTCCTACGCACAGTGCGTGATGCGCGTGTACGCGGAGGTGTATTTGATGCTTTTTGGCTACTATGGGTCCTCGTAATATCTGAGATTGGTATACTCTTTGTTCTTTAGAGAAAAACAACCTGCAGTCAGATAATTAGTGGTTTCTGTTTGGTCATCAATATGCCTTCAATGGTAATAAATGGTGTAATATTCAGACTGTGCAGTTGGCCCGCAGTAAAGCTCAAAATGTCTCTAAATGTTACTCGTTTGAAGCTCATCTCTACAATTCCTCGTCTTCCTCCTCTCTTTCTCCCTCTCTGTCGACTTGTTACATTGTGTCGCCCTCTACTGGCAACTCTTA